CGAGACATGCGCTACCTCCACAAGTGAACCCAGGAAGTCCTCGCACACCTTCGGGAGACAGAGGAGATCCCGGTCATTGAGGATATCACTATGGGCTGGGATTACCTCGGCCCAGTTCTGGACGGTGACATTAAAGAGAACAATATTGTTCTCATGGTATCACTTGATGGTGCACAGCTTTACAAACACAAGGACTCTGACTGTTGGATGTACGTGTGGATGTGGATTATCGTGAACTTATCCCCTGACAAATGGTGCCAGAAAATCCATGTACACCCCGGTGGGTTCATCCCAGGACCCAACAAGCCGAAGAACTCATTTTTTTGCGTCGGCATGCACCACATCTCGTCACTCCAGAGGGAAGGACTCAAAATTTGGGATGCTGACCACAATATCACATTCCATTCGGACCTCTACCTCCTATTTCTAACTGCTGACGGCCCAGGCTTGGGATGGGATGGTAGGGCACAGTGGCAAAAATGGATGTCGTATCTACTGTGGTATTCTAGGGCAGCGCAAAACCTACGGAAAACACTACTATCCTGCTCTCATCAAGCCCCGGGACCTGTGTGTTGCTGGCAGCGACCACCCAGATATCAGCATCTTTGACTTTCCCTCCGGCGGTTCAGCTACTTATGCTGAGCATCTCAAACAGCTCATATCATCCCCGAACCAGAGTCAGTATGACCAGCGCAAGACTGCAACCGGTATCACCAAAGCCGCACTTATTCTCGGCCCCCATCATTCCCGCTCCCTTGGCGTCCCATATTGCATGATAACCGATATCATGCATTTTGCTGGCAATCTCAGCGAGCTGTTACTGGCGCTCTGGCATGGTATGATTGACTGCGATGCAACTGACGACCACGATAGCTGGGATTGGGCAGTTTTAGCAGATGGGCCAACATGGGACCGGTATGGTGAATCTGTGCACAGTGCAGGCTCTCATCTGCCAGGGGTATTTGGCACTCGTCCCCGCAATATTGCCGAGAAGCTGACCTCAGGCTACAAGACATGGGAAATGCAGCTGCATACATTCGGTCTCGGCCCCATTCTCCTATACAACATCCTGCCCGACAACTTCTTTTCTAACTATTGCAAACTTGTACGCGGGTTCCAGATTATGTGCCAACACCAAATCAGCACCCAGGCACTTGTTGACGCCCATTCCCTCCTCTGTCAGTGGGAGCGTGAATTTGAAGACCTGTACTACCAGTACTGGGAAGATCACATCCACTTTGTTCGCCCCTGTGTCCACCAAGTCAATCATCTTGTCACCAAAACTCAGCAGAAAGGTCCCCCTATATGCTACGCACAGTGGACCATGGAGAGGACGATAGGAAACCTTGGCCAGGAGACTCGGCAGCCCTCGAATCCATATGCCAACCTGGCACAAAAGGGGGTAAGGCGCTGTAGGGTGAACAGTCTCTTGGCGGCTATGCCTGAGCTTGGTGTTCCCCCCAAAGGCCTTCCAGATGGAGCAGTGGAACTAGGTGATGGATATGTGCTTCTCCGCAAGCGCGACCGATACTTTTCCCGCTCCCTGCTCAATACGCCCAAGCCATTCAGCTGTGTTTAGGGGCTGGTCAAGACATTCCTTGCCTCAAACACTAGGCTCGCCTTAAGCTCAGGAATGGGCAGATTGCACGGAATGTATGGAGGGAGAGTTTGAAGTCAGTAGACAAGCTTCAGGTCTCACAAAATGTGTCGGTGAGTCTTATTTCACTTGCATACATTGACAACGAGCTCATTATGTATAGTTTTCTTACTCTGGACAGTTACACTTCGGGGAAGTCCAGTACTTCACACAGCTCGCATACCATCAACAGCACCCCCAGGACGCAGGCAACTACGACTTTCATAATGTTGCTGTTATCAAGATGTACTCACCCCCTGACAACCAATTACTCGACCTTTCGTCTCAGACCGTCACTGCGTGTATTCTCACTGATCAACTTGTTGTTAGCAATGTCAAAGACATCAAGAACGTTGTAGCTATGATCCTGAGGAGACTCAGATTACCTTCAGGGGTGGAAGAAACAAGGTTTTGTTCAATGTACCAGCCGGGCTTGGATGTTGCGGACTTAGGCATACCTTACAATATCTACGAAGATGACAATGACAAGGGGGGCGAGGTAGACTAGGTTTTTGTTGCAATCAAACATGTTATTTTGTGTTACACATGCGAGGGCCTGTCAATTGCAGACATATTGATGAAATTGAGTGATAAGCATTATGATGAGATCAGGGCTTCTGAAGGCTTTGGCGGGACTTACCGGCGGGGTTTGTAGCTCATGATGTGAGCTGGCCACCACAGCCTGGATATCTTAGCTATAGTCAGGTAAGGTTAAATTACATCTAGCAAGTTACTGAAGAACCATCTCCTGGAAACCACTTTCAGGGCGCATATATGCCCAACCCACAGCAATATCATGCTCTAGAAGAACAATACAAAGGTCTAGAGCTTCAGGTTGTTAGCCTGGCAGCTGAGCGCAATATGTTAAAATATGTAAATATTTATCCCAAGAGGTATACTAACTTTTCCCTAGAACTCTATGCCAGCAATTTGCCGGCTCGTTGAGACAGCCCTCTTATCCAGTATAGGGTCACACAGATATTCACATAGACCCACTCCTTAGTTCCATCTCTGCTCCAAAAAATGATGCTGAGGCTCTCACCCCTAAAACACACCCCGCCATCCAGTTCTGGGCCAAGGCTGACTGGCTAAAATGGTCGGAAAGGCCTGAAAATCACGCCAAGTCAACTCACGGCAAAATCTCATACCTGGAGGGTAACAATGGTGAGGTAATTAACAACCGCAGGGTGAAAGCAATCTGCGCGTTAATGCAAGATGCATGGAGAGAACTTGGTCAAAAGCAAATCTCCCCTGTCTTATGGGGACGAGCCAGTACCAGTGCACACCAGCTATTCTGGCACATCATAGAACATGAGTGGCCCATATTCAAGCTGTGTCACGATGGGTGGAAGTTGCACTGCCTCGCATGTGTCGATTATCCAGGGTGGAGGAGAACTTACCTTGACAATGACGGCAAATTGAAGAAGAAAGTATGTAACAACTTGGACAACAATAGCGTTGACTCGGATAGTGATTCGGATGGTGACTTGGCCGGGAAACGCAAACAGTTGAACAACTGCTCTGAGACCAAGAAGTGCAAATGATCAAAGAACATCAAGTCAAAGGTCCCTGCAAAGAAAAGAAAAGGTAATTGACATTAGCGGTTCTCCCATTGCTACTGACTATGCTCTCCAGTCATCCGAGCTCCAAGTCCTGACAACACGTCAGATACCAACAGCATCATTCCCAGCGACAAAACTATCTCTCCTACACCTCCCACCCTCAGGAGCAACGGCAATACAAGTGCTGCAAGCCCTGGCGATCGCCTCTTGCCGGACTCAGACAAGAACTTTGAGAACACTGCAAAAGCCATACCAGATTCCGAGTCAAGCTCATCAACCAACAACGAGAACACCAGTCCCAGCGAAGCTAACAAGCCCAAGGGTAGGAAGAGTGTCAAGTTGGTTGTCAAAAATCCTCTGTAAGTGTGTCTAACTTTGTGTTCCTAATCTTAAACACCTGTCCCTAGTTCTGTTTCGTCGCTCGCCGCTGCAAAAGTGAATATGCCCGAACTCCCTCCTCCTCCTCTTCCCAAAGCACCATAGCAGGAACAGAAAGACACCACGTTGAGCCAAGCTAAGAAGCCCAAGGGAAAGATGCATTTCCCTTCAGCACAATGTGGACGGCAAGTCCTCGGTTCATTTTACATAGTCTGCTAATCAATCTGCTAACCATTCTTATTTTAAATAGGAGTCTTTGTGTTTGACATTGGCTCAAGCAAGTGAACACTAGTGGCACAAAGGATGGGTTTGATGCCTATTGGTGGGGAGTGGTCTCCGCAGAGCAGCACAAGGTATGTTATGTTGGCATATTATATACATTACAATAGATTCTTCATTCTTGCAGTCACTTTCATTCAACTATTCCGACATTCTGATAGATTACATAAGTTTCCTAATTAGGATACAGAAAAGTGCACTCATCCTACCTTAGACACCTCAGTCATTTACCAGAAAGACTGAGAGTCTTTTACTTTACAGTTCTAGTCATCACATCATGTTAGTATCATATTGTCATCTACCCCTTGCTCACGGGATACTAGGCATATGATGATGAAGCAATTCAAGTGGTAAGTCTATTCAATGGGTTACACAAGTTACATAGTTTGATGCTATCTACAGGTCGACAACAAAACTTGGTCGGACAAGACCCTTGTCAATGGTACCATGTACTAGTCTTGTTTGTTCTTGCCGCTTCTTTGCTCTGTCTCTCCCATCCTCTCGTGTCTCCCATCCTCTTGCGTCTTCTCACTACTTCTTGTGACATCACCCACCCACCCTCGACAATCCGCCTTTCTTTTGTTCTAGTTCACCGTGTTTTTGCCATGTTTTTGCCATGTTTTACCCAGCTTTTTTTGGGAGCGATACCATACATTCAAGCATATTAACAACTGTGATACCCACATACCTCATTATATCTGAACATAATAAAACATATTCTAGCATATCAGAGCAGATTTGGTGAGCTACAGGACGAGTAAGTAGTACACATTATCATATCTGAGCATTTCCGAGCATGTTTCGTGCGCTGGACCCAAGGCATGCCTTGGTATACGGAAATATGTTTTTGTCATATTAGAACATATAGAAACATACCAGAGCATGCCCCGTACTATGGAAAATATGATATTAGTCCCATTATCCGCGCCTGTATGATCCCCTATGCTACCTTTTGTGACAACATAAAATCTCATATTCACGCATATCTCACCCGAACTGATCATAACCAATATTCACAGGGCCTTATTTCGCATTTGTAGGAGACAAGAACGTGAAACATTGTCACGGAATGTAACGCTTTTGGTCACGTGGTGCAGTCATATGTGCTTGTGGTCTACCTTACTAGCAGCTCAACGTATCGGACGATGGCGACCGCCATTAGGCCATCGTTCCGCCAAAGACATGCAGCACCAGCGCCATCCATATCGTCCCGGGTAAATACTTTAAAGCAGCAGTTGCCAATATCATTAGCCAAACGTCTTCTCTTTCCCCACCTTCCAGATGGTGCCGAACCTCCTCCCTTGTTTGCTTCGCCGTCCTGCTCAAAGGAACTCAACGACGAAGTCTATGACCTTATTGCTTTGGCACTGCGCGCTTATGTCAACACTTGGTGGTCGAAAATCTCTCGTTACGACAAAGAGGTACTTCCACAAATAACGCACATCCTCACCTTCGTTTTGCGCGAACTGGAAACACGTATCTTGGCTGCAGATTTGTCAGCAGTGGTTTTTCTTTACGCTCCATGTCTCATAACGCAGCACTATCGTGATTATCGGAATGCAAAATCCAAACTATCCACTTCATATGCGACAGGAGGTGCTGCCTCACTTTCTACCATATTTCACCATCTTCAGCCACATATAGCCATCTCGGAGGACGGACAAATAAATGAGGAATATTATCGCCAGCTGTTCAATCATGTATTAAGATTCAGTCTACCTTCTGAGGACTATGCTCCCGATGTTGAGCGTTTTATCATACGCGAGATCATTCTGAAGGTCTTGCTGAAGGACACCATTCCCAAGATTTCGCAGCCTTGGTTCATCCAGAAAACAATTCTGGATTTCTTGGACACGCCTCCAGACATAAAGAGTGTATGTTTTCCTTATGTTCATAACAATGCGATCTTCAGTGCTAATTCGCTATTTGTATCATATAGATTCCAAACATTTCACAAAAGACCTCGTCACCATCGCCGTCTTTTTCCTTTCATGCTCTACTTATCATATTTCTTTCTGCTGTTCAATCCATATCAGGGCTCTGTCTGACGCTCACCCATGCTTACAAACAAGCATTCGACACAATTAAACGCGTTAATGAAACCTCGTACCTCCCCATCAATGGTCGTGCACAGCCCGCCCCCCATTCACCACCTAAAAAACCTACATCATCTTCAGAAGATATAGAGCCACCGACACCTTCCTCATTGTCTTCGTTATCAAATCCTACTCACGAATCCCATCACGAATCCGGTCATGAATCAGACCTATCTGAAGAATCCCCGCCGCACTTAGCAGACCAATGTCTTACTGTGGTCTTTGAAGTTTTCTCTGTGCGATGTCGATTTGCCTCTAGCGCTCTTGCGCATTATATTTCCCTGCTCTCTTTCATATTCGCGTCCTTTCTTAACCGGTAAGTTATACACTTCCAGAATCTGTGCAGTTTACTCAACTTCTGAGCATTATATCAGCCTCCTATCTTACCTTCTCTACACGCAAGTGCTGTCTTCCTCGTCAATACTCTCCGTACTCCGTCTTTCCAAACGCACACTCTTCCCTTACGGCTATCCAGGACCTCCGCCTGTTGATCCCACGCCAGAAGAGCAAATTGTCATCCGTCAGCGTTTGCTCGAGCGCCTTGGAGGGCGTATGCCTCCTCTTATATCTCGACTAGTTCTTGGACCCTCACCTCTTGACACGATTAGTGATGCCATCGATCCTCTCGGGGACGCCACATGTAACACTCACCTTGCGGTGCTTATGTTAGATGCGGTTTTACTGGAAATTTTTCCTGAAATGGGGGTTGATTATATCACTACTGATCCACATGCAGATGCGTCTGTAGCATCTAATTGGGAAAAGGCGGGTGATTCTTCTGACAGTAAATCAGGTAGAAGTAGTTCAGTATCATTTACACCTCCTGACTCGATACCGTAGAGGACTATTTTATGTCTCGTTTGCGACGTGAAAGTACTTTCCTTTCTTTTGATGGGTTTTTCTGTCGACCGGTTTCAGATTGGACGTTAGGTGTTGGTCAGCATCCCAGCGCTATGCTATGTGTCCCCAGACACCCTGACAACAAATTTTGGCAGCCAAACAGGTTGGTTCAACCAATTCAATATTTTCAAATTTGTTCGAGTGACGATGCAAAATTGACGTGAGCTGCTGAACTTGATTGATTAGCCACAGAGTTCAGTCGTTGGTGCAAAAATTTGAACCAGTCATGTTAGTTATAAGTAACGAAAGGTTTTTGCACAGCACCTTTAGTTTAGAGCTGATCTTATATATTGATATTGACCTTCATATCAATGATATGGTCGGCTTTGAAGGGCATTCTGCCTTAAATCACCACAATTTCATTTCTAAAGAAGGAAATAACCAGCCTACTTCCTCCCTACTGCATCCTACTCAATCTCTTCTTTAAGAAAATAGTCATCTTTGAAGTCAAAATCATCTGCTGTATACCATTCAAGCTGAAATTAAAAAATAATGTCAAGTAGGTTTTCAGAAGTAAGTGATCAATAACTCACTGCTTCATGATCCCATCCTATATGTGTCTCACTTGGTGCTTTAATGACCACAAATCGCCTGTATTCATCAGCAATGGATGGCTGAGTTTGCATGGAACACATATCCTTTGCAATTTCTGCCTCCATATTGAGTAATTGGTCAGATACTGGGATATCAGAATATTTTTGCTTGAAGACCCTAACACAGCTCTCCAACATGTCCGGAAAGGGTTGTGACTGTGTTTCAAGCAGCCAATCTACCCAAGAGGCTTGACCTTGTAAAAAAGATCTTCCAGGTGAAGGAGGTGACCACAAAGGTGCAACACTACCATCCTCCACAAGCTTCAAGAAAGGGGAAAGCAAAGATAAATCACTAGGCAGTGCATATCAGCACCTACATACAGACCAGAGAATGCAAATTAAAAATACCTTTCATGATCACCTCTTAATATCTGACAGTAAAAACCAAGAACTGAAGGTAACAAGTAGCACTCCCACAATGGGTGGTTCGTGACTTTTGTCATTAACTCGTAGACACCAAATGGATCATTTAGCAAAGCAGAAGGTGTAAAGGTTATTATACCCCCTGGAAAATATTAAGCCATTTGTTAAGCAACACTCAACGTATAAATAAGTACCTATCGGGTAAATTTCACGAACACCCCATCTATCTGGTGAGACTGTTTCATGAGTCCCAAATGTGAAAAATCGAACTTCACTTCGTTGGCCCCTTCGCTCTGCCAGAGCAGGAAGCTTGTGGAGAGTACTAAGAGCACCATTGTGCACGAAGACAACCCGTGCCTCAGCGCTATAACCAACGTCCGGCGCGCCGCACTTCTCCAAAACAGCTTTCAACAAATTTGCCTCCACTGTGAAACTGCTAGAGCCATCTTCGACTGAAGACCATATGCAATATGGCCTGGGGCTGCGGCTACTCATAAAGTCTCTTAATTCTTGGGAAATTTGAAGAATGTTTGTAGCCCGATAAAAATACTGTTTTGAAACAAGGCTGCGATATCGTCGTTCTAGCCCATCAGGATCCGTTCCGTCGATGTTAGGTAGACGGCGAAGAATGGCATCGATCGGCATTCCGACTTCGTGCGCTTTATACTTCGCCGAAGTCAGTACGAACGGTACAAGCACAACGATGAGCCTGTCACTTTCGCGTGAACCGCGTACAGTTAGATGTGCTGGTACAGCAAGTCGATCACATGGGTCACGTAATGTGGGAGGGAAAAGTATTAACATAGCGACTTCTGCATCGTCCAAAGAAAGTTTGATGAAGGTCACCTAATCACATGTTATGAATAAGTTATGATAAAACGATCTAGGCTTCCACTGACCTGTTGTTTAACATCCATATACCGCACTAGAGCTTTCATAGCATCTTTATCTTGCGTGTCTGTGGGACCCAATTTCCCAAACTGATGCACGGGACCACATGCAGGAAGAATCATGTTCAAATCTGACTCATCATACAACCTGCGTATTCGAAGGGAGTTGAGGGCGTCAAGTAGAATGCTGAAGCGAGCGCCTCCTGGCTGAGCGTCTGTAGCGTCCGTCAACTCAACTTCGCCAAGCCGGTCAGCCTTCCCCCGTGAAACGTCCGCAAAAAGTTCCCCGGTCCATCTCCACTTCTTGGGAATCCTAGGGCCATTTACAGTCAGATGCATACATTTTAAGGGGATAGGTTTTACTTCTTTAGAGGAGGTAGCTTTGCCGCAGTGAGAGACCTAGGCGGAGCGGGTTCATCAACGGTTGTCTCCAAAGTGGTTTGCCTGTAATTTGCAGTTCAGTAATAGCAATGAGTGTATAGTGGTCGTAACTAACGGTAGAGGGGCTGAAAGTCTAATTTTTCCGGCAACCATTGATTAGTTATATGTTTGGATGAAGAATCATATTACTAACTCGGCAGGCATGATAGCGGCAAGGAATTCACTAGCTTTGTCCATATTATCTTGTGGATATTCCGCGGGCCTAAACATGAAGTTCGCCTACCTTAAGCTAACTTCTTCAATACATTTCGAACAAACTTACGCAAAATACTCATCCTGCCCAGATATATTCACGCTAGGACCCATATCGTTGACAGGTGCCACGAGCGAAGTAGGCGAAGCCACGATGTCCGGGACGTCTGAAATCACTCCGGTATATGGGACAGCATTTGGGATAGAGCTCTGAGCGGAAGGTAAGCTAGAACCAGAAGTCTGTGGTTGTCCATGTTTTGCCTCAGAAGCAAGGAGGTTGGAGGGCTTCACTGCCTTTTTGAAGCCAAGATTCTTCCAGCTAGGTTTTGCTGTCAGTGGTGCAGGCTTAGGTTTAGTGGCAGTCAACGCTCCCTGTGCAATCCGCTGTTTGGTGGATAAAGAGCTGCCAGCAGCCACACTTTGCACAGGTAGATCCATCTTCTTGACTAAAGGATGGGTTTGGCGTTGCTGATGGGTTTGTCGAGACCCTGATGGTAGAAGACTAGACTGACCGGCTGGTCGAGCAGGCCACAGCTGATAATGAGAATCAAAGGCCACCGCACCTCGGTCAAACGAAGGAGGTGGTGCCACTGCTGTATTGGAAGGTGCCTTATGCTGAACCTGAATGGAGTATAATCAATAATGGATATGACGTATGCTCGATGCGCCTACCCCAGAATTCGAGCTTCGTATTTTTGATGTTTTTATTGGACGCTCGTCTGAACTATTCCCGGACTAGAGCATTAAGTAAAAAATATCAAAAACTAAATCAGTTTCTAGTTGCGCACACTAACCTCATCGCTTAGCACTACTGTTTTGCGCTTTTTCCCAACAGGATGTGAATTCGCGAGAGGTACATCTTCTAAAGCGTCTGAATCATCGGCATCACTCTCTATTGAGGGTGTGTTAGTTTGTCTCTCTCTATTTTGTCTCTCCTTCTCCAAATCAGTATAGGCACAAGCTGGTATGGAGGCGGCACACCTTGTTTTTGCTCCGTCTTGCAGCTTTCTTCCTTCTGGCTTCTTCTGCCTCCTGCCGGCCGAACTCCATCGCAAAAGATCTCTTTTCTTTTTCTGACGATCGAAAACGCGTTAGATCAAAACTGACACCTGGCGATAAAGGACGCACCTATCCATGAATCTTCGGCGCTGCAGTGGTAGCCAATGGGCCAATCTTTATCGTCATTGCCGATATGGTCCCAGAAGCTCCTTAACAACCTCGCGCAGCCCTCGACATTTCCCTGAGGTTCCCAGCTTTTGACGTAATGTCAGATAGATAGCAGTATCATACTCTTCTAATAACTACCTGTTGGAGTCCGAATCATAACCCGCCCACTTGAGATGAAGCATAAGTGACATATATTGAAATTGAGGTTCAAATGATTTTACTTTGACATAATACTCCTGCGGGCGAGACATATTAGTTGACGTACTGATACGACGACAGCAAGCTCTTACCCATTCGCCTTCATCACCGACACGCGCCTTGGTGATGACCTCTGAATACAATCATTCCAAGTCAGCGCGCTCACCTCAATACCAGACGTAGTTACTGACCAACTTGAAAGACCTCCTGTTCTTCTTTTTTCTTTCTGGCCATCGATTGTATCAGAGAACTAGAACTTGCTGCTCGAGTATGCGAGGAAAACGATAATAGCGAAGATTGCTACTATGTGAGATCAAGGCCACTAGTACTAGCTCTGTAAGGATGTAATGGCCGAGGACCCCGGGCTCACGCTCAGTACCTGAACAGTGAACATAAACAGCATGTCAGCAGGTTAACTAGTTTCTTACATGGGCGGTGGGCACATGGCATTAGAGACCTTCCACCGTCACAACTTAGCCCGTGCTCTTTGGTCCTTCTTGGCACTGGTGTGATAATCTATTGTGGCCCCTGTGTCTGACCACCCCCTTCCATTCAATCGTGGAATCCATTACCTCGAGTTGTGCGCGGCGCGGAATGGTTGTGTCTCAACCTTCTTCCGTGCTTCCTGCCTGTGCTGGCATATGACTGTACCTCCTCTTGCCATCTCTTGCAGTTGGCCACTGTACCACAGACAACTTAGATGTACCAGAATTCTTATTCTGTGGAAGTGAATAAGCCTCAAGTCTCGCTGATCATGATGTGCTGGATACCAACAGTAGGCTCGGGCATATTGGAATCTGCAAATTGCAAAGTAAATTTGACCAATCTATAATGAAGGGGACAGTGGTCCCAAATGCTGTGTGCAAGCCACATTGTGTTGGTTATTTTGTTTCACAATTTGAACCTGTATCTAATCTATGACAAAACTGGATAAACCCGGTCTCTGCCAAAGCAGCCATTGTTCTCCATGGAGCATAGCCACCACTCCATGGAGTCACCATTGTTCTCCTAGGAGTCATTATACTGTAGCGAGTAGCACCTCCGACTATAAGTAGTAGGGGGTTTAGTATAGAAATACCTCAGTCGTTTCTATAGCCTCTTGGGCAGCGGCTGAGTTTCACATAGTTTTCTTAATTTGGAGTATCAGTAAGATAAATTCAGCAAAATGGACTTAGCAAAAATCAGTAATCATTAGCTTTATGTGTTATCATACCAGTATACTATTATATATACCATCAATGGTTCTACCGTCACCCTGTTCCTTACCATCACCTCAAATCACATTGACTCCCTCATCCCAGCTTTGATAGTTCCCAAATGCCAAACCACAAGCAGCTGTGGTGAGGTGTCCTCATGTATACCACTAGTACCAATTATTCCCCCACCACTGAAACCACCTAGCAAATGAATAGTGCCAACAAAGGCTTTTATACCAATATCAACTTTTGATCCCCCCAGCAATTATTTCTAATCAATTTTTACAGGAATTTCAGTACTATCAAATGGTATGCAAATAATCCACCTTAATGGCACCAGTGATAATTCATGCAGTATTGGAATAAATTGGCAGTTTACGGAAAACAGGTTTGTTTGTTCTCTCTCTAGCCTAAGATTGTTCTGATTTTATTCCAGGTTTATACAGAGATGTCAGAATAAAAGGTACACATATTGATTTACTATCTACATTTTTTTTACTGACTATACATCTAGAAACTAGCAGCTTCCATGGTGGATTGCAGAGATTCCTGGTGTTACATTTTCAGGCATTCACTGTGGAAACCAGTTTTTAACCGGCTATGGATAATGTCTAGATACCCGAGTAAAATAGATAGTAACTGTAATCAGACAACAGACATGGGGAAGTTGGGATATAAGATGGAAAGCCACACTTTTTCGAATCTAACTAGAATTCATCTTGTCCTAACACTTGTAACAGTTTGATGATAGAATTTGAATGATTATTTCTACTTAAGAAGTACAGTTGGAAGTAAATCAAAGTACAAATGAAGCCCAATTAATATATGAATTAAGCACTAATTAAGATGTGAATAGCGTACAGATAGACAGAAAAGAAAACTGCTAGGAATCCCCCTCCTCAGCCTAGTACATAAAAATGTCCTCAGGTAGTTGTCTCCTCCTCAACTCTCCACTATGTACCCATTAAATGTGCATTCAATGCATGCCAGCCCACTACAACAGCCGGGTGAACTATCACCTCTCACTTCCCGACCCCAGGACAGCCCCTTTTCAAGTGAACTCAGCTTCACGTCAATTCTTTGACCTATGTGGGGTGGAGAAGACGGCTAAACAAGATGAAAGGATACAAGCATTAGTTGACAACCTTCAGCCCTATCCTGATGATGCACCTTTTATGAAGATGGGGCCTGAAAACAAGGCCGTTTGGAAGTCATGTTGGACTGAGAAGATTGACCATACAGTCAATGTCCACTTTGTCAATGAAATTGTTGATTGTGTCTGGGATAATGAAACAGTAAGTTCAAATAGCACTACAAAAAACCAGACCAAATAACACTTACTTAGGCATTACGGACTGTTCCAGGAGGCAAGCCAGAGCTGGTAGATGCTGACTACAACAAAGATGTCATTATCAAGATGAAAAAATTGTACTGGGGCAACTTACAGTCTCAAGTAAAGGCACGCGCTGGCATACACCAAAGTTGATTGGTAGCATGGACAGGTGTCAATAACAAAGTGAATATTCAAAAAGACTCGCCTTTGCGCCACACAGGCACAGTGCCACATGAAATAGTAATTAATATTACCTTTTTCAAACTTGTGGCTGATCAGCATCACCTCTATTAGGCAATCCAGTCACGCTCACCTTTGCTTTTCCATTCAGTACTTTCCGCATTTTGGCATTTTGGCAAATTTTCGCGTCGCCACTGGCTACACATTGCATTGTGCCCTTGCTTTTGTCGTTTCCCTTACTCCCCTTCCTTTGCCTAGCCCCACCATGGGCCCCTTCCTCTCCTTTTTATTCTCACCTGACAGTCGTTTCTGGATCCCCATTCTAATCCACTTTTCCGTCACCTCCACCCTCCTCCTCCTCATTTTATTTGCACCCCCACCATTTCTGATGTCACCACTTCCTATCCGCTTCCGTCGCCGATCCGTTGACTACCACGTGCCACTGCTGATATCAGCAAAGCCCCGGCGGCCGGTTCAAATAGGGCAACAGGTCCATCTTTATGACGTTGATCTACCATCATATACTATGAAAATATTGGTCGCTTGTCTTGCCTGGTTGGAGCGTGGTAGTTTTTGAGCTGGAGAAGGTTCATCCCCTTGCTTTGCCCATGTTCATCGCTGTCCCATTCACTTGGGTACACTTATCTTTTGTCCATCGTCTTCGCTACAGCTACACCTACCACACGCTGCCTGGGACTCACTTGTTCCAAATTGGAACTACTCCTCTCCCTCCCTCGTTTCATCAGGTGGTCCAACACAACCAGTCCATTGGTAAGGCCATGGAACTGTCGGATTTGGACTAGGTGGTGGACCGGTGGCTCCAGTTTCTTTTTCTTCAGCAGAACATTCATTTACAGTGCAATTATTTTTGATTTTACACAGCTATACTGTGCATAGCCTACTTTTCTTTCACTATATAAACCCCTGTATTTTACCTTGTAAAACAACAACAAGTACTCGATTCCAGACTTCTTCTCTAATTTCAAGTTCACTACTCTGCTACTTGTGATCCAGTGTGGTCACAACACTTCCCACTGCTACCACTGTCAACTGCTGTTATTGTCACTTCCCACTTTTGAAGTCATTGTCATCCCTTTCAATTAGAGTCCTTCTGAGCACTACAGTTTGTGCGTCAGGAGCCTGCTATCACTGGGAACCTCATCATATTGTCGTTCTCAAACCTACCTTGTGCTACGATTAGCAAGGTAGTGCTCGTCTATACTCACCACAAAGCCCCTATCTTTCTATAAATTCAACTATCCCTCCTCCTCAAAACCCACACTCATACACCTCTGGGTTTTACTTTGAAGGATCTTCACACATACCACCCCACGAACAACCAGACCACTCCACTGTTCTAGGAGGCAAAGCCCATAAACAAGTTCCGTGGAATCTGGGAGGATTGTGTGTTAGTTTGTTTTTGTGTGTGGTTTTCTAACAACAGTCCTCATCATCGACATCGT